GCACACACACACACACACACACACACACACGCGGACGGCGACACACTTTTTCATTTCCTTTTTGTTTTGATCAATTAAAAGCCATCTGGTGGCGGTGCCCTCCCTTAAACTCCCAGCTCTCAGGAGGCAGAGGCAGGAGGATGTCTGGGAGTCCAAGGACAGCCTGGCCAGCCTGACTCAAAACCAAAACCAAAAAACCCGATGGATGAAATCCTAGTGTCATGAGGAGGGAGAGGCAGGAGGATCGGGAGTTCAAGGTCAGCTCCGGTAACACAGGGAGTTCCCGGCCAGGCTGAGCCTCATGAAACCCTGGCTCAGCAGAAATAGGCAGGGGAGAGGTCAGACAGGAAAAAGTCAAACCCGACACTGGGTCTTGAAGCAAAAAAGGTAAAGTCTGAGTGGGTGGAGAAACCAAAGGCAGGGCTGGAGAGAGCCGGAACATTTGACTGCAGAAGAGCAGAAGGGGCCGCCCGCCCCAGGACGGAGGAAGTGAGGCTGGATAAACACTGGGGACAGATTAGGAGGGTGGGTGTGGAGGACAGCCAGTGGAAACTGGGAACCTCAGAGGCTCCTCATGCAGAGCGCTGTGCTGGGAGGGCCATCTGAAGAAGACCACAGCAGGGCGTGGTCCTGCATGCCTGCATCCCTAGCACCGAAGAGACTGAGGCAGGAAGATGGAGCGTTAGAGGCCAGCTCAGCCTACACACAGTGAGACCCTGTCTCAAACAACAAACCTACAGGAGTAAAAAGGCTGCTCGGATTGAGTTGGGGTAGGTGGGTGTGAGACCAGAGAGAGGCGACTGTGGTGACCTGTGAATGAGGCGTGATGCAAGGACAGCGCATCTTCACTGCGGTGCTGAGAATGTCCAGCGGTGGCTTGCAGACACAAGGAAGACACATAGAGGAATCCAGAAGCAGGAGACAAGAGGGCCATGCTTCAGATGGACACCTAGACTTCCGAGTGTCAGGACCACACCCACAGAGGCCGCGTAGCCCCCAGCACGGGGATAATTTCTTGGTTTAGTCAACTGACTGCTGGTGTCTTCAACTTTCGTATCTGCTCTGCCACCATCCCATGAAAACACACCAAAGTTTACCGACTCCTTACAGAGACAGACGGTACAAAACAAAACAACAAAAGCAGCAGCAACAACAACAACAAATCTTCATTATCTTCTGGCTCTGCTAAAGAAAAACCCAAGAATTCTTTATCGGTTGACATAACGTGCTGAAATACAGCCTCGACCTAAAGTAGCCATACAGGAGAAAACACCAGCACACACGCCGTCTAGAGCAAATGAGTGAAACGAGCCAAGCTTCTGGGCTGGGGAGCTGGCTCAGCACGTGGGCTAGGACTGGGAGCCCAGGACCACGTGAAAGCTGAGCATGGTAATGCTGCTAACCCTCCCGCTGATGAGAGACAGGGGCCCCACATGGGCATGCATGGTGAGTGCACCCACATACACACGTGCACATGCATACACACGCACCAATAAATATTTGAAAATAAACCCACACTTTGTTTGCCACGTCGCTTTCCCGAGTTCTTCTGAGTTCTATCGAAAGGAGAGGAAAATTTCAAGGGGGAGGCAAAGGAAAAAAACGGCGCTAAAGCTGAACTGAGTGGACCGAACAATCGTTTTGACTGATAGTTACTGGGTCTACGGCCAACGCTGCTTCCTCCTCTCTTCCTCCTACCCTCTTGGCCTGGGTAGCATGGAACAAGGTGAGAACACGGAATGAGACCAGCAGGTGCCATCTGCACATCCGCAACACTGGTCAAATGTTCAGGTTTTCTCGTGACACTGTGTGGCCCTACGCAGATCTGCACACTAGTTTTCTCCCCGACCATTTTCTGGTTAAGCTGTGAACGGGAGCTGGATTACTCCAAAGCGGCTAGAACAAACATAGCCACCAGACATCAGTCGTGGGCTCTTCTCCTGATGCATGGTCAACTCTGGCTTTGTAGACAATATGTCACTCAATCCCACCCTGATCTCGGGAAGTAGGGGCTCCGGCCAATGCCTGCTTTTCAGTTTGACACATGGAGGCTTTTAGGAGGCTAGCAAGCGTGTGAGGTGATGGAATGAGGATGGCAGACACGTTTCCGTGCCAACCCCAAGTGTAAGTGACTAAAACCAAAGTAACGCAACGAGGCTGACCATGAGCCACAGTGCAGGGGTTGGAGCATGCTGTTGACAGGTTCTCTGACTCCCTGAACTCTGCCTGAGGGTGGGTGGAACCCTGCTGGAGTTGAAGTCTCACAGTCACCTTTTGGCAGGACATCACATCAAGGTCAGATGGTGCTATGGGCCTGTGAAGAACTAACGAGGGCTGGCAGATGACATCAAAATGCTTCAAAAGTGTTTGCCAAGACTGTCCAGTCAAAGGACAATCTGTGGGACAACAACTGCAGTTTACCTTAGAAAGAAACTTCTCAGTACCGTGTGTGTGTGTGTGTGTGTGTGTGTGTGTGTGTGTGTGTGTGTGTGCTTGTGCGCGCGCACGCTCTCAACCATATAGACATATATATGTTGATTATATGTATGTGTGTACACACACACACACACCACACACTCCTAAGATACTTCTAAAAATAACTTGCCTCTGCAGTTCTCAAGTTTCTGGGCCCAGATGTCGTGTTTCCTCTGAAGGCTTCCTTTTTATGTTGCCACCAGGGCTGAACCAGAACAATCTAGAACTTCAGGCTCCTTCACGGGAGCTTCTGATTCTTATTTAACATTTTATATGATGGTCCCAGCGTGTTGGGATGTTCTCACACTCTGACTCTGCAATAATTTAAAACAGGAAACACAGCGCTCTCTCTACGAAACTCTGCCCCCTAACCCTCCTTCTACTAACATGTGGCCTTGCACAAAAGGGGTCCGTGGGATCTTTGCAGGCCAGAGATAAGACTATGACCACGGAAGCTAGAGAGAAGGGTCAGCACACGTGTCAACTTACTCTGGAGAGTGAGCCTTGTCATCTGGGTGGAGCCGGCACGCTGCTGGGGTTGGTTAAATCAACGGGCACAGGCGGATAGGGTATAGCAAGTGACTTCCACCTTCCCTAATGCCATAAGATCTGAAATAATCTGCCAGGGTGAGGCCCCGCCCTCTTCCTCTCCCCACTCCCAGCTCTGACCTGGAGCTGGACTATGAATCTACATTCAGCCCATCCTGGAGGTTCTGAGAAGCTGCAATTTATGTCACACACTCGCACACACACACACACTCTCTCTCTCTCTCTCACACACACACACACACACACACACACACACACACACACACACACACACGATTTGGCATCATATTTCAAAGACTACCTGAAATTTTTAATTTCCTCTTTCCTTTGGATAGACCCTTCCCCCGCTGCCATGAGCAGTATCCACTACACACATTCTTGAACAAACAATGCCTCCTATGCAAAACAGCAAGAATCAATTTACACAGGAGACATGGAGGATGCTAGAGTTTGTCCAGGGCTGCATGGTAGCCCACACATTTCTCTCAGCCTTTGCTCTGATTGCCTAGCACATTTATTAAAAGAAACTGAAGACTCGTGGACAGGCTCTCCGTGCAGAGTGCTCTAGACTAACTTTAACATACAAAGTGACTGACTGTCAATTCAAAGTTGCCTCCTTGCTGACATCATGACTTTATTTTAGTGACTAGAGCTGTCCCAGAAATTAATGACCTCAACGCTAAGGTATTTTCCTTTCTACTTTAGTAACTAACCCTAGTCACTAAAATGATTTCAAAAAATTGCAAAACCAAGTAAATGTGGCCAAACTCTTTGATCTTTTTGTGTCCACATTTGGAATTATACATGAGAAACAGCTTCCCTTTCTGCCTTATTTTCCCTTCCTTTAAAATAAGAAAAATAGGAAGTGATATTTTGAAGGTCTGGATGGACAGACACCGTGCCATTTTGAGTAATTTACTCTTGAAATGTTATTTTAGTGCTGGGGCATTCCTTAGGGTAGGCGTCAATCCACCTTTAAAAAGGTGACCTTTAGCATATTTTTCATGTTTTCTTCATGGGCTTCTCTGCTAAGATTATGACATCTTGTTGGAAGCCTGGCCTTCTACTTGCTGATCCAGAAGAAAGAGGGAAAACTAAAAATTCTAGGTTTTCAAAAAAACAGACACCAAAGCTCAACCATGTCAAACTACTAATTACACATAGCCTGCAGGTCAGCTTTACTGTTCTCGGCTGGACTTTGAGCAAAGGTCCTAAGTCCTTGTGTGAAATTCAACAGGAAGTTTAAACAGCTCCCGAGTGTGAACGCTGTGTCGACATGAGGCCCTTTATAATCAGACAGTCCATATAAGATTAAAAACCAAGAACGCTTACTCGCAATGAATTGTCCGAAGTGCAGGCCCCTCAGTGTCCAAGCCGACAAGACGGATCGGTTAAGATCACCTCAGCAGTCAATAAGCCTGCGGGGTGAATTTCTTTGAAAGATTGACTCTGGCTCACAGGAAAAGATAAACCTGAGATCAACTTCAGTGACAAGGACACCCCTAGGCTGTCAAGCGCCTTCATCCTGAGATAGGAAGCTCTTCACAGACACTCCAGTGAGACTTAAGCAGCACTTCCTGGTCAGACCGGGAGCCTCAAGAGCACTCCACGGGGCTTTGCACTTTTGACATTCAGGGAAGGAATGTTCTAAGACACGTTTCTAGCCGTCCCCCACTCCTCCACTCGGCCAGCACCTCCCCACCCCTGCAGCCCCAGTTCCCACCAAAGAGAACAGGCAGGTGCGAGCTAAACAAACACCACGTAAAAATGCCTAACATTTGGGCAATGCCTGCTGCTGCAGTAACACGGAAACACCAGGCCAGACCAGGGTACGCACAGGCCTCCACACCGACATCGGCATAGGTAGCATAGGGCTGTGTTGCGTCCCTCATCCCTTTGCTTGGGTGCTCCCTCCACGGGCTTTCACGGGACACACCCTGTCAGAAGGCAGGGAGACCATGACAGGAGGCACTCACCCGGGTGGGCTCCTTGAGGATGTAGACCGGTCACGGCGCCTTCACATTTTACTCTTCAAATCTACAGTGCCTTCTCTTCGAAGCTCCGGGGTGAGAGGTCTGCAAGAAACCCCATAAAATCCTTATGAGGAACTACCGAGGGAGCCGCATGAGCAGGGTGCCCCACGGTGCTATCAGGCCCAACAGCCTGTGTGAGGCATTTCCTGTTCCGACGCCCATTGGCCCTTGCAGGTGCATGCGCCTCTGGGTGGTGCCAATAGATGGTTGGCTCTCTCTCTCTCTCTCTCCCCCCCCTTTCTCTCTGTCTCTGTCTATCTGTCTCTCCCTCTCTCATCCTGCTTCTCTCTTAACTATTGATTCCCTGAAGGAGATTTAAGGTTGGCATTGCCAATACTGGGAACATCTAGGCTCTAGGACACTAATACCCTAGGTTCATTGTGAGCCAGGTTCACCATGGACTGGTGGTTGCCTGATTTGAATGGGCTGGGGACAGTTTACTTCAACAAACTCAGTTTACTTCTCTAAAACTCACCACTACTGAGCCTGTCCTATCGAGTTAGGGAGGATGAAATGGGATGATCCCAAGTTCAATTCTTGCTTAGGCTACAGAGCCTGTCTGGGTTCCAGGGTGAGTTCAAGGACAGCCTGGGCAGCTTAGCGAGAGGCTGTTTCAGAGAGGCGGATTGGAGGGAGAAACTGGGTAGAGGGCTCTGCGGTGAAGAGCGCTTGCAGCTCTCCACCAGAGGTCTGGAGTTCGGGTCCTAGCACCCATGTTGAATGCCTGCAATTCTAGTCCCAAGGGATCCAAGGCCCACTTCTGGCTCCCATGGGCACACATACGTATAGATGCTCTGTCACACACATGAAGTGAAAAAATATAAATCTTTGAAAAATAATGGAGGGCTGAGTTCAGCGGTAGGTGGGATGCTCATCTAGCCCATGTGAAGCCCGAGGTGCAACTCAGCACCTACCCCCGTCACTTTTTTGTTCTGAATATGGTTGCTGGCATGGGCTGGGATTTGGTAGATTTTGTATAGCAAAGGGGAAGAAAATTTTTATATGGCAGAGACTGGAGATGCTCAGCTGGCAATTGGTAATGCTGATGGCAGGTCACGTTTACTATAAAAAGTATCATGGTCAGGCCTCCACTCCATGCCTAGAAAGACTTCTCAAGCTTGGTGGCTCACACCAGTAACCCCCTGTATTGGGGAGGCTTAGGTGGGAGGATGGCAAGTTAAAGGCCAGCCTGGTTTACATGGGGAGACACTGGAAAAAGAGACAGAAACCTTTTCTAGACCCTGGAAGTGAGGGTTTGCATGTCCTCGGTGTTTCAAGTGCATGTTGGAGGTGGTGGTCGTGGGTGCCAACAGGCAAAGGAAGACCTCGCCGGCGGTGCTCAGTTAGGCTTAAAACGAATTTCAAACGTAATTATTCATGCAAAATGACATCAGGAGTTTGAGCTGACCAGTTTCCAAGGTCAATATCACAACCAATGGAAACTGGGGGAGAAGGTTCCAAGGAGTCAGTGCTCCTGGGCTGTGCTCATCATCACTTTGGGTGTGAGCACTCAGCACCTGAGGAGGTATCCTGAGGAGGCGTCACAGGCACCAGAGAGGTCTCCTTCCAATCAATAGTTTTCGTAGATTTTTCTCCAGCCTGACATGCATTCTTCTTGATGTGGATGGCCAGAAATAGAGTGAATGCAAGGGAGGCCAACCAGAAAGGCAAACCTAAAATCCAGCCAGTATCGTGCACATGAAAATGCTTCCAAACCCTGTTTTCCTTCCTCAGGATTTTTACTTCCTTAGGTTCACAATAATGAAACTCTTGCAGCCAACCAATTGGAGAACTTGCTCAAGCCAGATTCCTATTAGACATTCAACAGATATTCGCTAAGCAACTGGTTGGGATGATTTCCATGAGTAAAAACAAGAAGCTTTCCCTTTATGGATCCTAAACGCTAATGAGGGATTTCAGGTGGACAAAACAGACAGAATATTTGGTATGTCTGCCAGAAAGTTAGCAAGTGCTGGGGGGCGGGGAGAATTCAGTCTGAAAGATGGGGAGCCCCCCCACTCCCCAGCAGTTTATATTTGTGCTCAGCTACTGAGTGATCGTTCTCAAAAGGACGGGTAGAAGAACAGCGTGTGTGAAGGTGACTTAAGTTCACTTCCATCTTCTTTGTTTCTAAATCCCAGAGAAAGTACAAAGTTCCAAGGGACCCGACTGACACAAAGACCATCCAAGGAAACAAACATGGACAGTCACGACAAGTCAAAGTGAACTCACGAGGCAGAGGCAGGTGGATCTCTGAGTTCGAGCCCAGCCTGGTCTACAAAACAAGTTCCAGGACAGCCAGAGCTACACAGAGAGACCCTGTCTTGAAAAACCAAAGAAGTTGGCTGGGCAGAGGTGGTGCACACCTTTAATCCCACCAAGTCCTGGGTACCTGACGTTTCCTCCTGTCGGACCTTCCAACTGTCATGCTCAGAGGTAGTCTTCCCTTAGGAACTGCCCCTGCAGCAACAATTGTGTTCTATAACTACGTGCACAACTATACTGAAGTTCTAGTTTGGAGCTAAAGCGTTACAGTTGAATACAGTTCAGTAATTAAGGTATGGGTTACAAGGTTAGAAATGTAACAGTCTGTCCTTTTAAAACCAGAAGATGAACATCTACAAAGAGAAGGGAAGGATGAACCCTAGGACGGCCTATCAGGGAGAGTGTTTCAGAACAAGGAAAGCATACGCTTAAAGAATTCAAGGGGGAAACAGAGAGTCGGAGGTCTCACCAACAACAGCAGAATGGCTCTTGTCCAGCACATGGCCCTGCGGTGTTCTTTTGCTTTAGTATTAGGATAAAGCTAGAAGGGGGTCCTGCGTGGGGCACCAAGGCGGGTTCCGTGGCGGGAGAGGGTGACCGAGGCGGGGGGGCGGGGAGAGGGCACACCAGGCAGGCAGAGCTTGAGTGAGGACAGAAGAGAAGACCGAGACAGGAGCAGAAAGAAAGAGCAAAGTGGAGCGAAGGTGGGCGGGGTCTGTCTTTTAAAGGGGTCCTTTGCACCTGCATGCAGATTAGTACTCAAGGAACCCTGGGCTGACCAGGGTACTGCCTGAGTGCATTCTGCCAGGTGACAGGGGCAGGCCAGCGTAAGGCCTGAATCCTTACATTTGATTCCATGAAAAATACTCCAGAAAAGCCAAAAGAGCCCTGAAAATGAGGGATAGAGGCATTGAAAGGGCAGGGTAAAAAGATGGGGCCATGGCTGGCAAGGCCAATAGAGAGGCGAGATGGCGTAGGGAGAAAACCGACTCCCACCCGTTGTCCTCTGAGCTACACATGAATTCCTCCAGCAATACCCTTACACAGAAAAAAAAAAGTAAATAAAAGTGTGAGAAATATGGGTGTGTAAACCCAAGAACGCGTTGCTAAATCTGCCCCGCGTTTACTAGGCCAGGAGTTTGGCCCAGTGGTTCTGTCCACATGAAGAAAATCGGTGTCCTCTTTTGAGGAACTTGGAACATGCCTGTGTACCCTGCCTGGAAGGACAGAAAGTCGAGGCTGGGGCCTGGCGAGCTGGTTCAGCAGAGAGAGACTTATATATACACAGGCAGACAGAATGACACCCATATAAAAATTATACAATTAAAAAAATTTAAAGGAGACCCTGGACAACTGTCACAGTAGCCCTGCCCCCAGTGCCCTACTAAGGCCCTTATGAACCAGGCGGGTAGAAGGTTAGGTATAGGAAGAGGGCGAGGGAGGGGCTTCCAAATGAAAATCCACCTCTGGGGCAAAGCTCCTGCCTCTGTCCCCGGCACAGAAAGTCAAAGAAACTGGATCTAACTCACCCGGGTCAGGCTTGCTACTGTCTTTGTGATCTTGGGAAGTCATTGACTCCCGGAGCCTCAGTTTCCCTATATGTAAAGTTACTCCTTGTTCTTTCTGGAGTTGGGATGCTTCCAACGTTACCAATTTCCTCAGGGTCAGGCGGCACAATCACAGAGCCAAAAAGAGGTAGTTTTTGAGTCTAAAAACACCTTTTCTCCACAGTATCAAACGGTGAAATGCTAACATTTGTTCTTGTTTTCCAAAGGGAATCCTGTCTCTTTTCCCATTCTTTATTTTAAAAATTATCTCTAATAGAACACTTTTTAAAAATTCTTATTTTTGAGAGTGTGTCTTCTTGTGGGTGTGTGCATGTGTGAAGCCAAGGACCCAAGGAGGATGATTGTTGAATGCTCTGGAGATGGAGTTCCAGGAGGTTGTGAACCACCTTCCGTGGCTACTGGGAAAGGAACTGGGATCCTCCTTAAGAACTGGGTACCCTCTTAACTGCTGAGTCATGGAATGCCCTTCATTTATTCTTTGGCAATGTCACACACGTAAAAAACATATCTTGATCACATCTACCCCAACCTTGATCTAAAGTGTTTATTATTAGTATGTATGCATGTATGTGTGTGCACATATGTGGACACGCATGACACATGTGGAGACACAGGCCATTCTTGTGGAGTCATGTCTCTCCTTCTACCCTTTTGTGGGTTACAGGGATTGAACTCTGGTCTTCAGGCTCAGAGGCAAATGTCTTAAGAGACTGAGACATCTTTTGAGGGTGTGGGGTGTGTGGGGTGTGTGGGGAGTGTGGGGTGTGTGGGGGGTGTGGGGTGTGGGGGGGTGTGGGGTGTGTGTGGGGTGTGGGGGGTGTGGGTGTGTGGGGGTGTGTGTGTGGGGTGTGGGGTGTGGGGGGGTGTGGGGTGTGTGGGGTGTGGGGGTGTGTGGTGTGTGTGGAGTGTGTGGGGTGTGGGGTGTGTGGGGTGTGGGGTGTGTGGTGTGTGTGTGGGGTGTGGGGGGTGTGGTGTGTGGGGTGTGTGGGTGTGTGGGGGTGTGTGGGGTGTGTGTGGGGTGTGGGGTGTGTGGGGTGTGTGGGGGTGTGTGGGGGGTTTGTGGGGGGTGTGTGGGGTGTGTGGGGTGTGTGGGGTGTGTGGGGTGTGTGGGGTGTGTGGGGTGTGTGTGGGGGTGTGTGGGGGTGTGTGGGGTGTGTGGGGGTGTGTGGGGTGTGT